GTTTATTTTGTGTCACCAGCCCAGGTCAAGTTACACTACTCGAGTAACTGTGTTTACATAGGGAAAACGTGGAAGTGTTTGGTCGCTTCTCTGCTTGGTCCATATTTAATGCATGGGCTAAGCTAAGTGCTAACATAGTTTTGCGGCAATACAGAGCGATATAGTGCACGCACTGAGACGAGAGAGGTATGTATCAACTCGTCTTAGTTAAGGGAATAACATAGTTTAATAAGAAAAACTGGTGGAGTATCCCTTTAAGGGAATGTGGCCAGGGGGTCCGAAAGGAGTCCCGTCCAGTCACTTTCTGAGAGGAACAAAAATCAACCCTTGTTGAACCCGTGTCAACCCTGACCTTGTCAAATTTACTGACCTATCTTGGCAACAACCAGTCTGTTTCCTAAACCTAACCTAAACCTGTTTCCTGTTATCTGCCTAACCTGTGGAGGCATCCGATAGGGAGGACTGCAGATAGTGGCAGTAGTCACTCACAGACCGGATCATAGAGACAGGAATCCTGGAGAGTAGAACTCATCATAGCACTTTATAACCCTTGCAAATTAGGGGAGTAACTCTACAGAGTGCTTCAAAGCCCTGTGGATGCTGGACACTCTAAAAAAGGGACCCTAATAAGGGGAGCGCCTCCAGCTCTAGGGCTGATCTAACAGGGAGGCCTTGTGAGAGTCCTTTGACCTTCCGACCAGACATTAGGGAGCTACGTATTCATACAGAGCGAATCTCAGATAATATCTGAAATACTATGCTCAACCTGATATATATTGACCAGGCTCTGGGCTAGAATCAGGGAGGCTCCAAGGGAGCCTGCGACGTGATAATTAATGCTAAACATCCAACTCATTAGGGAGGTGCCTTCAAGGACGCCTGTGAAGGCCTAACTACTTGATAGCGATACTTGTTAGCAGAGCTAGCCTCAGACGTCTTAGGTGCTCTCAGGTGCTCTCACAGACATTTCTGTGGGCCTATCGACCCTTTAAACAAGGGGAGTACAATCTTACGCAACAGGACTATAGAGTAGGCCTACTGAAAGGCCTACAGCTTTGAATGTCAAGAGTGTCAGCCCACTCCAGTGCTTAGGCTCTAAGGAAGTGTACTCAAAACCGACCCAAATGGGAGGGAGTACTCGATGTGTCTCTACCTGAGCCCCAGTAGTGAAGGGTGAATAAACTAGAGCTGTGGGTAGCAAAGCACTCTAACAATGACCCTAACAAAGGGAGTTCTATCAGCATGACCCTGAGAAAAAACTTTTTTGGGGTCGAGGCCTATTTATCTTGTATTACAAGACAAGTTTACTTGTTTCTCTGCTAAGCCCGAGGGAAATGGAGGCCTCACTCACTTTCCCGATCTGCCGTGTGCGCGCGCGATACGCAGTTTGGAGCACAATCTCTGTCTCGCGTGCGCGCTCGCTCTAGATTCCGGGAGATTTTAACTAATTTGAGGGATAACTAGTCGATCACGAGTGGTTCAACGGGTAGATATATAGATAAACTCATCTTCCAGGCATTTGACCGACCAGGGGTGTGTTTCCCAAAGCCAACTATGGTTGCAAGTTCCGTCGTTACCAATAGAGAGTTCAATGGAAATTGCGATCATAGTTGGATAACGATGCTTTCGGGAAACGCACTCCAGGTTGCCACTTTAGCGTGAGAAATCGGGGGTGTGGCGTGTGAGCGTGTGAAACCAATCAAATGCGTGTCTCACGGCCAATGCGTGAGAGTTGGCAGCTCTGACAGTCATCCCTCCCCTCCATCAACCTGTGAATCACATGAGATTGTGTCAATCAAGCCCCGCCCTTCATGTTTTTTTTTACTTTTCATGAAGCAGTTTCACTCTAATGTACATCACAATAGGGAGGAAATACAATCAACATTTCTGGTTCTGACATGAAACAAATGACAATTTTTTAATTTAGGTGTTAAATATGACCTGTATCAAGCGTAGCATCAGTTCTGGCAGGTCACGTTAGTCAAGCTCGCATCAGCTGACTCTCAGCTGATCCACGTCTACCTATAGGAATACGACGCCTATCTCTGTATACATATAAGCTCCTTCAGTATTATCAGCAGCTATCGCGTTTCTCAGGAGCTAATTACCCTCCTCCCTCCCCAGCTCCTCCTCTCACCCAGTCAGGATTTGGCATTCTGATTCCCCTTGAATCAGAATAAATTCTCGAATTATGTTGTACTTTAAAATCTGATGATAATATCTGCATGTTGGTTCTGTTCTGTTTACCCTAAGGTGGGTTATTGCTGCTCTTATCCATGCTAGGCTGACTGGATGCGCAGGGAGTTCTCGCCCAGAAAGGAACCATATCGCCAATCCAAATTGTATGCTAATTGTCAATCCTATTTGACGATAGCGGTCCTGACAGAAACACATTTTCATGACATTCTGCCAAACATCTCTGAAGCTGACATTAAATTGTAGTTTAACTCTTTCCTCGCCAGCGTTTTCTAAAGAAGTTGCCTGCCACCGCCAGCATTTCTGATCATTTTCACAAACGTTTCATGGCCCTCAGAATATTTTGTTGAATGAATATCTGAACATGTAATATGGCAAAAGAAAGAACAGAGCTTCATGCGTTTTATTATCAACCCTTGAATGTGGGTTAGTTTCATAAAAAAAAGTAACATTTTGAGCAAAAGGCTGAGAAAATCATGTTTTTGTCAAAGATTACATCTGGATCAGATTCAGAGCGATGATGAAAACACAGATGGAGTAGATCGAGTCCATCAACACCCTCAAAGCTTCACAGTCCTGTAGCTCGTCCTGGGTCGACATTTCATTCAGTAACATTAGTTTTGATTCATATGCTGTTTATTGTTGATGATCGTGTTAACCCTCTGGGGACGGATTGGGCGGTACCGCCCAAAATGGCATAATTTTTACAAATGTGTAATTATCTTAAAAACTATTTATGATAGAGAGGTGCGGTCTTTTTTGCCGTCTTCCTCAGATTCCGCTGAAAACAATGGTATATGGTGTACACACTTCCTTGTTGCGTAATACCACTGCGTGTAAGGCCAATGAAATCGATGTTGTTAGGAATATTGCACGCGCAAAGACCAATGGAAAAATTGCCGCTGGGAGGAATATTTTTCTTACCCAATCTGAGGAAGGTTACCATGACGTATTCTAGCTAATCAGAGGACTCTGTAGCCGTGCAAGGGGTGGGATTATAGTAAGGGATATGACGCAATTTCACGCAAACAGCGTCGAGTGGAGAAGGAGACAGAGAGCGAACGGAGCGGAGTATTACAGCACGCACAGAGATTTATATGAGAGAGAAAGACAGAACGATTATATATATACAGTGAGGAAAATAAGTATTTGAACACCCTGCTATTTTGCAAGTTCTCCCACTTAGAAATCATGGAGGGGTCTGAAATTGTCATCGTAGGTGCATGTCCACTGTGAGAGACATAATCTAAAAAAAAATATCCAGAAATCACAATATATGATTTTTTAACTATTTATTTGTATGATACAGCTGCAAATAAGTATTTGAACACCTGTCTATCAGCTAGAATTCTGACCCTCAAAGACCTGTTAGTCTGCCTTTAAAATGTCCACCTCCACTCCATTTATTATCCTAAATTAGATGCACCTGTTTGAGGTCGTTAGCTGCATAAAGACACCTGTCCACCCCATACAATCAGTAAGAATCCAACTACTAACATGGCCAAGACCAAAGAGCTGTCCAAAGACACTAGAGACAAAATTGTACACCTCCACAAGGCTGGAAAGGGCTACATGGAAATTGCCAAGCAGCTTGGTGAAAAAAAGTCCACTGTTGGAGCAATCATTAGAAAATGGAAGAAGCTAAACATGACTGTCAATCTCCCTCGGACTGGGGCTCCATGCAAGATCTCACCTCGTGGGGTCTCAATGATCCTAAGAAAGGTGAGAAATCAGCCCAGAACTACACGGGAGGAGCTGGTCAATGCCCTGAAAAGAGCTGGGACCACCGTTTCCAAGGTTACTGTTGGTAATACACTAAGACGTCATGGTTTGAAATCATGCATGGCACGGAAGGTTCCCCTGCTTAAACCAGCACATGTCAAGTCCCATCTTAAGTTTGCAAATGACCATTTGGATGATCCAGAGGAGTCATGGGAGAAAGTCATGTGGTCAGATGAGACCAAAATAGAACTTTTTGGTCATAATTCCACTCGCCGTGTTTGGAGGAAGAAAAATGATGAGTACCATCCCAAGAACACCATCCCTACTGTGAAGCATGGGGTGGCAGCATCATGCTTTGGGGGTGTTTTTCTGCACATGGGACAGGGCGACTGCACTGTATTAAGGAGAGGATGACCGGGGCCATGTATTGCGAGATTTAGGGGAACAACCTCCTTCCCTCAGTTAGAGCATTGAAGATGGGTCGAGGCTGGGTCTTCCAACATGACCCGAAGCACACAGCCAGGATAACCAAGGAGTGGCTCTGTAAGAAGCATTTCAATGTTCTGGCGTGGCCTAGCCAGTCTCCAGACCTAAACCCAATAGAGAATCTTTGGAGGGAGCTCAAACTCCCGTGTTTCTCAGCGACGGCCCAGAAACCTGACTGATCTAGAGAAGATCTGTGTGGAGGAGTGGGCCAAAATCCCTCCTGCAGTGTGTGCAAACCTGGTGAAAAACTACAGGAAACGTTTGACCTCTGTAATTGCAAACAAAGGCTACGGTACCAAATATTAACATTGATTTTCTCAGGTGTTCAAATACTTATTTGCAGCTGTACCCGCTACTGTATAACAGTGGAAACACTGAAAGCTGGAAAATTTCGTCAATGGCAGGGAAAGAGTTAAATATGTTCTGCAACTGTTATAGATTTATTAGCAGAACTGTCATTGTGTGTGCGTCTGAAATACATGTCATCATGACTTCCTACAAAACATAACAAAATTTTATTTTTTGAAACACCTTGAATTATCTTATTGAATGACTTGCCTGCTTTAATCCTGCAGTAATCAGCTTCTCTGATTTAGGTGGCTTCATCAGTTTTAATGGCTCCTGGCGTGTGCAAGGTGTTCTTGCCATGTCCCGTTCACTTGGCGACTATCCTCTAAAGAAGCTGAAGGTGCTGATCCCTGACCCTGATGTGCTGAACTTTGACCTGGACAAACTACAGCCTCAGTTCATGATTCTGGCCTCAGATGGACTCTGGGACGCCTTCAGCAGCGAGGAAGCCGTGCACTTCATCAAAGAGCGTCTGGATGAGCCGCACTTCGGTGCAAAGAGCATCGTCCTGCAGTCCTTCTACCGCGGCTGTCCAGACAACATCACCGTGATGGTGGTCAAGTTCAGAAAGAGAGGCTCCAAAGCTGCTGGCCAGTGAAGACGGATCTGCTCTCACATGTGATCATGGAATGCAAACCAATATCTGAATGAATGAGTGACTGGATGAGCAATTATCATTATGCATAACTTAAACGTTAGATATGCATAACTTAAACGTTAGATAAAAATGTTAAAAGGCTGTATTTTTGGAGAAGCAACGATTTCTATTTAAATTGAATGGTACGGATTTAAGCAATCACTTCTTCATTAAAGGTATAGCTCCCCCGAGGAACATAAAATAGGATTTTTGAAGAAAATTTCTTTCATAAAAATCTGTTCAAATATCATCATTATCCCTCACTTTGATCTGTTTTTTATCTGTCATGTTGGTTTTAATTTAATATTTTTAATAATTAACAGTAGGTTGCCTTATATAACCCAGCGAACACGTACAGTGTGTAAATCATGAATCATGGAGAAACAGGTAAATTCTGATAGTGATCATGTCTGTCATCAAGTAACTGCCTAAAAACCTCCGCTGCAGCTCTCAAATGCATGCAAATATATGCTCACTTCATTTCTGTGCTAATGCAAACTTTTCTGCTGAATGCATTCTTTGCCCCATATTATGAAAGCTTGTTTCCACAAAAAAAAGAAAGAAAACTTGTTCTGACTATAACACGCAATTCTGAGAAATAAAGTCGCAATTATCTTTTAAAATGTTTTATTCTGTGCCGGAAACAAGCTTCCATACCATAGCAAATCCATGTACACTTGAATATATAATAATACACACGCATATAAAGAAGAATAAATGTTCATTCCTCTTCTTTGAACTGGTGCAGCACATTCAGTGCACAAACTAACCTTGTCCGAATCTGACCATTTTCTGAAGTTTCCCTTTGGCGGAGGGGGGAATAAAGACGTGAAAGTGGGTCTGTGTCTCACACAAAGCAACATGTGACTTCATATGTTGACCTCATGTCATCAGTCGATTCTTCATTCCAAACTCAAAAGTTACAGAAATGGTCTTATTTAACAGGCGCTGAAGTGTCGTTTGCCTAGTTCTGTTGAAAGGCGTTTTCTGTTAATATCAAGACATTTATACCAAGCAAAGCTTTCACTTATTTATGGCTATAACTGTCAGTTGTGGACAAGATGATTGTTTCAAAAACACATCAGCACACTACTGTTACACTTTATTTAAAGGTGTCTTTATTACAGTGTAATTATAGTCATTGATTAATGAGTCATTTTAATTAACAACATGTACTTACTATACGGTTAGTGTAGGATTAGGGTTTTGGTTAATTGCATGTAATTATGCATAATTTATAGTCGTTACTACAGTGACTACATGTGATAAGGACACTGTAAAATAAAGTGTTACCAAACTACTTTACTAAAACATATTTCAGGTATATCTGACTTTCACAGCCTTGACTTGACTCAGTATGATCATTGGAAGATTTTAATTTAAATATGTTGCCTTATTTTAATGAACAAACTTATTTTATTTCTCTTTCTATCATGAATTTATTTGCCAGAAGTGTTGTGTTGTCCAGAATTTGTGTTTACAGTGTCCGGAGGTTCATGTCAATTGTCAATGTATCATTTTACATGTTGATGTCTCTCTGAGACGAAGAATAACAAAATGAATGTTTATATTAAATATTAACACAAGGTGATGCAATATCAGTCAATGGAGCCCGACTTTCAGAAGCTTCAAAAGCATCATCAAATAATGTTACGAAGCTTCTGAAAATCAGGCTCCTTTGACTGATGTTATTCCTGTGCATGTGTTTATCAATTATGACAATTGGTGAGACATGCTTATTTAATAAAAATAAAAAATTACTCTAAATCATTTGTTGTGTTTAAGATTGTTTAATTTACTGTGTAATGGGTATTTTAAATATATATAAAAAATCATGGATAATAAATATTTTATTAAAAATGGTTAAAGGTTGTATTTTATCATTTGTACACAGTAAACAATGTACCGGTAAGTTCACAGTAAAATTCTGGCAGCTGTGGTTCCAGCCATTTACCGTCATTACGGTTTCAACACTGTTTTTCCACTTTACAGCTGTGCTGTAATTTCACAGTAAAATACTGCATACCTGCAAACTCAGAAGGTCAGTGGTTAACACCACTGAACATAAAACAACCTTAAAACTGGTCTAGTTTTATCTCTGTTTTGCCATGTGCCTCTTTTGGGCCACACTTTCTTCCTCCACCACTTCTGCCCTATTTACAGCAGCACTAGTGGATGGCTGGCAGCCGAACTCCGCCCTCCTTTAGCTGAGTTTTAGATGCTTTTGCTGCCGCTGGGCTTTGTCCCTGGTTCCAGCCGAAATGATGTTCCCACACAGTCTTCGATCTACTGGCTCAAATTTTGAATCATCTCGGCTGAACATGTCCACAGCACTCAGCTTTCTGCTCTTTCGAGTATATTTGACAGTCTGGATAGCGCTGAATGTGGTGATGTTAATACTTTTATGGTCAACGATGTTGCCCATTATATTAAAAGAAGATTCAACTAATGGGCCATGGAATATTGACATTGCAGGTTTTACTGCTTGACACGGGCCTGGATATTTTCCAGTATCGTGTACACAGGCCCACCACCTCACAACATCATCTCCATCTTGGAAGCTCGGCAGGGACTGATCTACATTGTACTGGAGAATTTCCTGGTGTGCGTCAACATCAGGCAGCAGGTGATCCATCATTGCAGTGAGTTTCCTCAGTTCAGACCCAGTTTGAGAGTGCCCTCTCAGTATTGGGTCCATGGCCGACAAACACTGGAGGGTCTTGCTCTGCAGTGGCAGCTTTTTTCTTGCAAGTATCTGGCACACGTGATGTATGCCCGGGAGACTTCCTCCAGGAATGGCTTTAGCAGCTGAAATGGATCAGCAACACTTACTATACTATTGTTATCATACAAACTCTGCAGAGGCTCCATAATCAATCATTCTAATTGCAGTACACAATTTAAATTACTCACAGGGTGTTGTGGATGTGCCACTCTGAATTGATTAGCCTCCTGCCCCACATACATCTCCCTCACAGGCAGCAGTTTGTTGTCCAATTCCATAGGAGACAGAGTTTTGGGCATCGGGTTCAGGTGTTTAGATTTGACGAAGCAGGCAAGGAAGTTGGTAAAGAAGCTTGTTTGTCATGCAGTTTATGAACAAGTGTCTGACTGCCCTTTAAAGACAATAACATTAGCATACATTGAACATTGTGGTCCAATTTACAAAAACACACACAAGAAATGCATACCAATTTTAACTCAGGACTCCTGAAAGTTAAATACAAGGATTCACTTGGATCACCTCACTATGAAAAAGCTATGGTAAATGGACTGCATTTATATAGCGCTTTCACAGACCCAATGGCCACCAAAGCGCTTTACAATTTGCCTCACATTCACCCATTCACTCACTCATTCATACACCGACGGGCGACGGCAGCCATGCAAGGCGCCATCGAGCTCGTCGGGAGCAGCCGGGGTTAGGTGTCTTGCTCATGGACACCTCGACACTTGGTCAGGTGGAACCGAGGATTGAACCACCGACCTTCCGGTTTGTAGACAACCCACATGAACCACTGCCGCCCATGAATCACCTCACTACACCCTGTGGTCAAAGAAAATGTCAGTAATTATTAGACATGGGATCACAATAATTTATTTTCTAGACCCAGGCACCACAGAATCCTGTAACATTTTTATAATCATAATCTAATTCTCATAATTTGTGATATTTTTTCTTATTTGGAAAAACCTGATGAGAAATGTAGCATTCACATGAGTAGAAATGGGAGCCATAAGCAGAGGACTCAACTCACCTGGAACACCATGACACTGATATAAACTCCTGTATAAACACTGAGGAGCAGCTCAGTTATGGTGGCTTCATGCCACACCTTTCTAACCACCCTCTTCTTCCGGTCTTTTCCCAGCTGTGTCATTCCTGGAAAAATAAAAGGCTCTATAACAAAGCTCTGTACAAATGCTAAAACTCCTTTGGTTACCATAGTGCAGGTAGGCAATCACAGATCTAAGGAGAAATAACTGTGATGAGTTACCATTTTTGCTGAGGTCCTCATGAAATTACCAAATCTGTGTCTGTGCCTTTTCGCTCACTTTGTAATTGGCAAAAAGCTGCCTCAGGGGGTCCTTGTAGAGGGCCTTGTCTTCCCTGTCCATAAAGCCGTAGTACAGAACCTTGTTGTCACGTTTGTATTAAGGACAGGAAGCAATAGCGAGTCAACAAGTTTAATGTAGAAATTCGGACAGTACAAGTAGATGGTGAGCAGGTGACGCAGGGACTCAGGTCAGAGCTGGTGCAGACAAACAGTGCAGCAGTGACGATGGTGAGACTAACAATCCAGTAGACGAACACGATGAAGACGATGAACCGAAACACCAGGCAGGGAGACAGAACCGGAACCAACAAGACACACATCCAACAACAACGATCTGACAAGGAAGATGAAACAGCGGTTAGTATATATAGAGAGGTGAAATGGACTGCAGCTGGTGATGATACTGATCATCAGCTGGAGTGATTTGGTAATGACATACATTCACGCCCACTACACACATGCATTCACACAACAACATAAACACAAGACTAAAAGGAAGTAGAGAATACATCTACTGCGACACTTGTAGGCAGGAAGCAGCCTCTGGGTGCTAATGGCAACATTATAAGCCGATAGCCAGCGATGCTGAATGAACCTTTTGAAATCAGTTTTTTTTCCTCAAAGAGCTCAGGTAGCCTAAATATGTCAGTTAAGGAAAAAACATTTTTTGAATCTAGATTTCATCTAGAAAATACAGTCTCCCAACAGTTAAGTATAGCAGCAGGTGAGTATATTGTAAAGATAAAAGGTTTAGTGTTTAGTGTTGCAGTCAGTAGCTTGAAGTCAGTAGAATGAATCATTCTGAACTAAAAAATATCTCTATAATGGGAATTTAATATTATTAACTAACCTGCTCTGTAGCCCATTGATGATCTGCATGTAGGTCACCAAACATCTGTTCAAGATGAATGCTGAAAGGAGATGCAAAAACCTTTGCAGCATTGTGGATATGGTGGCAACTATCAACGTCAACATCAAGTAGGCTTGGGCAGTGGTTCTGGCGCACT